ATAAGTCCTCAAAATATCGATGGAAAATTACGTTTTGGTAACTAATTTTTTTTGGACTTACATTTTGGTACCTAAACTTTTCAAATTTTATATTTTTTTTTTTTGACAAGTTTCAAATTTTATAGACAGGTCCAATTTTTGCATGTGTAGTTAAAACACTCTCACGTAAATGGATTTCCATATCTAACCCATACTCATTTAGATTATGGAATCAATATCCATACCTTACCCAAACTCATCTACAAACCCCAAATCCATATGCACTTCACCCATACCCAGCCCATTATAAATGGGTCTACTTGGATTTGGGTATAATTACCCATGGGTGGGTAATTTGCCATCCCTACTCACGAGCTTTGCGAAACGAACAAGGTATCATAAACAAATTGGTCTCAATAACTCAAGTTGTTGGGAGAGGTCCATGTGTAGAAGTCCATAAAAGGTACATGTTTTCTCGAACAGAAACCAACTCATTGGTTTGAAGCTTGCATATGTATTTCATACCATGTCATAACCAGTTGATCTCAATAACTCAAGTTATTGGAAGAGGTTCATGTACCACTTCCTCACACAAAGCGTAGCTCAAACTTGGCTCTTTAATAAAGAAGTTCAGTATCGAACGAGTTTTTCCCCAAACCGAACGCCCAAACCACTCGTGAGCAGCTTATCTCATTCGCATCCCTATTCTAAATTAAGAAGTAGTGATTATACAGTTGTTTATAACTAACCGAAGAAATCGTTATAATAAACTATTTGATATCAATAACTCGAATTATGGGAAGAAAATTATTTATGGATCTCTTACCATAATTATACATTTGTGTTGAGAAGTGAAATTAAGATTAAAAAATAATTACCTCCTGTTCTTAGTGGGGTGAAATTAACTTTTTGCTCCGCGTCCAATGAATATCGAAAGTCTCCATGCTTAATGTATCCAGAGAGTGTCACGTGATGGGGACTAGTGTTAATTAATCTATGATCTCCTTCAGCCTTAAACAATGGTTTAGACGATAGACTATCAACGTCACATGCTCCCACATTACATTTTGCCCCTTTCTCTTTTCCTAATTACTAAAGTGAAAATCTCTTGTGCTAACAAATCTAGAGAATATATAATACGTTTTAAAGCATCTGAAACTCTCCATTTCAAAATTGCAGCCCTGTGAGTGTTTCCCGGAAGGGCATTGAAGGGAATTGCCAAAATTAAATTCCACAGTGCGTTTTGACTTATACGCATCTGGACTACTATAGTTTTTTTTTCTTCCTTTCCTCCCCACCTGCTTTCCTCTTCTCTCGATGGATCCCTAAACACCGAAAGCAAAATTGTTACCGTAGGTTTTAACCTCAATCTTCAGTTGGAGCTTCTCAATTATTCTTCGCCTCATCATCTGAATCTACCCAACCTTCCTAGCTCACCCAACTTCTCTCATTCCGTACCGTCCGAGTTGTGCACAACCATAATATTAAACCTTGTGTTTCCATCTTAAATAGCCCACCCTCAACTCATTTACTTTGAGGGGTCTGATGAGAATATCACTGTATAGATAGCTAGAAACAATATTTCCAATTTATTTGATTTCATATTCCAAATTTGTTGTGTTTTATTTTGATGAATTTTCTCTTTCTTTTTCATATCTCTGTTTACTTTCACTTTTCCATTAGTTAAAGCCTGCTTTGCTTTTTGTTTTTATCAGTATAGATTTTCAGATGTGGTGACACTTACATTTTGTTTAGTAGTTCAATTTCTTTGTTTAGGGTGATGCATCATTTTTATTTTGATTTTATGTTGTTGTGCCCTATTACCTTTCCTCATAAAATACTCTGGGTTGGATTCTAACGGTGCATCGGGATTCCTTTAGGTGGAGTTTTGAGTCAAATCAGCCAGAACCTTGCAACTTGAATGTGTACCTTATCCTGCTACGGTGTTGTGATGGATTGAAGTTATGCCAGATCATATATCAGACTCATGAACTGTTGCGCCCCAGCCCCAACTACAAAGCGATAGATTGATGGAAGGTATGTCATATATAGAGCTACAAAGAAAGCCCCAATCCTCCAGCATACGGATCACAGTAGTGTAGCTCATACATTTATTTTCCAAAACTTTAACATTAAGAACAGGAAATCACATGTTTAAAACTATTTTGTTATCATCTAAGGTCATGAGTTTTTACTCTTCCCATTTGGGACAAGGATAGGGTGGAAATCGGTACGGTATCGGTATCCCAATACCAAATACCAAATACCAAAATCCCGAATACCGAATTACACCCTAAAATCAATCCCAATCTCAATTCCTAAATAATTTCGGTATTCCAATCCCAATCCCTAAATAATTTCGGTATCCCAATCGGTATTATCGAATACATAATTAATTATCTTTGCAATTAATAATTAAATATATAAATTTGATTTTATTGTTTAATTTAGGCCGAAGAGACTAAGCAAATAGTCTTGAGTTTCCTAGAGCTAACATCTCAAGTTATTGTAATTGGTAATCTTTAATTTGACGAATTTGAGGTTGAGAGACGACTAATAATAGTGTGAATGTAATGATCTATGTATAATTAAATGATACTTTCGGTGGTTGATGGTCGCGTAATAGTGAATGAGAGAGTTTAGTTGAGAGGATAAAATATACATTAGCTTATATTTCGGTATTGATCGGTATTTCGGTATATACCGATCACAATCCCATAATCCCTAATACCGAATAACAATTGAAATTCAATCCCAATCCCACAAAATAATACGTGTATTCGGTAATACTAAATATAGACAAATTCGGTATATCCCAAATACCGGTACCAAACTTCCAGCCTGGGACATGGGTGCTTGATGATATGCCTTTTCTTTTCAGTTTCAGAAGCTAATGATAGCATAATTCAGAGTTAAGGATTAGTGAGGTTCATAGGTCTAGGATTTGGGAATGACAATTTTGATTCTTCCATGGCCTTATTGGTGGAGTTTAGAGAAGGACTCTGCCATTTTCAATTCTCTATTTCTCTCTATCTTTCTATGAATGATAAATCTTCTCAAGAGAATGACTGATCATATTGGAAGACTTTTTCTTTCAAAATCGACCATGGGGAACTTTGAGACGGCAAAATTGATAACCATAGTTTATGAGAAGATTGACCATGGTCCACAATTCGAGGATTTTAGCCTGATAATTTAGGCCCTTTAGGATTGTGACAATTTTGTTCTCTCCTATTATGCTTTTCTCTTGGTGCATCATTGAAAACATATGTCCTTTTTGTCATTGTGATTTTTACTATCATCGAATCATAACATCTTGGTAATATTTTATTTTTAGTTTCAATTGTTTGAACTTTAATATCATCAAGGTGAGTGTAACTGTAGACAGATTGATTTCGTGAGCTTACAACTTAAGGAATTGACCAAGTACCCCCCCCCCCCCCCAAATTTAATAGACATCAAAGACAAATTGTTTTTAAACTGATAAAAAAAGACGAATTGTTTTAAGGCATTAGCGCACTTAGAGATCTTAAGTCCAGGCTTCTGACGATAACATTTTTTATGGTGAAAATTGATTGTATATGTATCATTGAAAAGCAACTCTCATGTTTTTTTCATTGACTTTAATTTAAGTTATACTTTGTTTTGCCTTACTTTGTTAGTAATTTTTTTTACAAACAATTTAATAACCAAACCTTTTAGTGTTGTTTTTTCAAAATATAGTCAAACCTTTTAAAATCGACGTAAGAGTTAATCGACATAAGAATAGTTTGAGTACTTGCCTAAATAATTCGGCTAACTACAAGTAATTTTTTTATTGTGGTTACCTATCAAAAGAATACAACACAATAGACTTTAGATGAAACAATCAAATGCGTCGGTCACTAGCTAATTAATCCGACGAGAAGAGAGGCTTTTATGTCACTAAATGATCAGCTTTGTCAAAATTTCTAATACAGTGACAATAACTACTACAAATTAGGGATGACAATTTCGACCTGACCCGATTTACCCGACCTGTGTGGCCTGTTTTTGGGGCGGTAGTATCCATATTAATAATTTTGTCTTTGTGTTGTGCTGGTAGTATCCATATTAATAATTTTGTTCAGAATCCTCTTTTTATTAGGGATATTTTGTGGTACGCTTTCCACCACCTTGCTTAGGCAGCCATGTCTGTCTGTAATCTGATAAGAACTCGGCATCATATATCTTTGATTCACCAAGTGGGCATCTCTAGGAATGGACATTTTGCCATTTAGGTTCATGAATTTATGAAAATATATATATGCAAAATGATAATAGCATACAGAAACCCACCACCTGCAAATGGGATGGATTGTCTCTCTTCCTAATGGACATGTGGGTCATTACTTGAGCAAAATTAGGGTTCAAGTTTTAAGTTAATCCCCAAAAACTTTAAAGGAAATTATTAACACTATAGTCATTTGAGATTTCATTAAATGAGGTAACTTGCATCTAAATCAAAACTCTGTGTTCCTTGTGTTAAACATTTCGACCTCAGAAAGGGTACCTTCTTATGTTTTTTCTTATTGAAATGAAGAAGAAGAAAAATACCATTTTTCAAAACTTTGTGGGGATGTTATTGTTTCCCTTCCAGGGAAAAAGACTTTGGCGTTGGAGCAAAGAAAAACTGAATTGGCTCCCACGTCCTCTGAAAAGCATGATCCCACCTAGAGAAAGAAGGCATGGATTGAGTAAACACACTGGATTTATGCAATCCAAAGGAGACATTGAATAACCCTAATAATATTAGGAATAACAAGATCTTTAGTATCTATGTATGTATCTCATTTGACATAAACAATAAAAAAAAATGTTACTCGCCAGTCGCCATTCAAAGAAAATTTAAAGCATTTTTTTCCTTTGTGTCCACGGGAAAAACTAAATAAATCATGTGTGGTTTCCACCATCGATTATTATGAGCAAACATAATTTTCTATTTTTCAGATTATAGGTTCGAATTATCTGCTATATAACGTAAATTTTTCGAAAACTACAATACACTTCTCTTATAAAATTTCGATAGAAGGGTGAAGAGAGAATCACATGTATTCAACCCACATCCACTCAGTCCATATGAATTCTTGCTTTCTTTATGGAAATATCCAGGGGATAAGATAAGACATAGATGAATTTAATAGTTCCCGCTCTATTCAAAACAGTGTATTAGTTTCCAATAAATTTTCAAATTTTGGTAAGACTTCTCTCACTCTATTCTCCAAACTTGACACTCAAATGTCTTTATGTGCTAGTGTGCTACAACCTTGAGTTTTATTTATACCGGATTATGTGACTAGTTAGTTGTGTTCATTTTGAATTCATTTTATGAACCTAGTTCTGTGCACTTTACTTGTTGTAAATTGGCCTTCGATATTTTGTAGGTCATAAGGATTGAGTTTTTAGAGTTTTACCTTGATGGAACAAGTTGATATTTACTGGAACTATCTGTGTCCAGAATTTGCAAAACTAATAGGTACACCAATTGGTACACAAAAAATAGAACTAACATGGATGAGTTTTATGTTTGAAAATAAAGGCGGAGGTGTATATTTACATATCTCAATCTCACCCCAATATCATCATCCTTTAACTAAGTATTTTAGTTCTCAGAAGAATTACCATATAGGTCATGCCAGAATTGACGTCACACATGATACAATTTTGCTATGGTGCTCACATGCACTTAAGGTCGTTGGATTATGCTCAAGTGTTCCACATTCATTGGATAAAATACGATGAAAATTTAACAACACATCCATCCAAATTTCAACAAACAAGAAGTACCCGCGCGTACATATAAAATGGTTCTCGCAGGTGGACCGAACTTATACGTTTGTATATCTTAATTCAGACTAGGGGTGTGTAAAGATTCGGTTCGGTCCGGACCGGACCAAACTCATGAGAACCGCGGTCCATTAGTGAAAGACATGTTAGGACCAAGGACCGGACCATTCTTGCATTTGGTCCATTTGGTCCGGTCCAAATATGAGCTCGGTCCACCATTTCTTCAGTAATTATAAAATTTATGAGGACCAAGGACCGGACCGCATTTTACTCGGTCTGGTCCGGTCCGGTCTTAACAACAGTTTGATCCGGTGTGGTCCGGTACGGCCTGGACCATTGCACACCCTAATTCAGAGGAATAAATTGAATGATTAGTGGCATGTTAAGTGGGGAAATAAGACAAAAAGTTCCAGAAACCCAAATAACACTTCTTCACAATCATAACTCATTCCAGCAAGCAATATTCTGATTTTATCCAAAAATATATAAGTTAATGACTTTCGTTTTTCTTAATCGATTCGCTTATAACTACTAAATCATTTGCTCTGGAAAAAATAATACAGTCGAGGAACCGGAAAAAAATATAATAATAATTGAAAATAAAGAAATTATTGTTGCTTCTTGCTGCTGCTGCTGGTGGCAACATTTAAATCCTTTATTTCCCTGACACTTCGCTAAACTTGCTACCAAGCAACCGAGCCATCTCTCTCTTCCTCCGCCAAATTCCACCGCCTCAAAAAATTCCCCCAAAAAGGGCAGCGGCCACCGCCTCCGGCGAAAACCACGCCCCGTCAACGGTGACTCAATGCGAAGTAGTCGCGAACACAGAGAGAACTAAATTTCCAAGTACACAGGAACGATGTCGCCGCAGAAACGATCCTCGCCGATCTCAGCGCCTCCGGCGGCGAGTCCCGGGAGCAGCGATCTCAAGCCACGAGTCATAGCCTGCCTGAACAAGCTCTCCGACCGCGACACCTTCGCCGTCGCCACGGCCGAGCTCGAGTCAATCGCTCGGAGCTTGACTCACGACTCGTTCTCTCCGTTCCTCAACTGCATTCACAACACCGATTCCTCCTCCAAATCCCCCGTCCGGAAGCAATGCGTGAGCCTGCTGGCGCTCCTCTCTCACTCCCACGGGAACTCGCTGTCCCCTCACCTTTCCAAAATGGTCTCCACCGTCGTCCGCCGCCTCCGGGACCCGGATTCGGCCGTCCGGACGGCCTGCGTCGAGGCCGCCGCCGCCATGTCGTCTCAGGTCACGCATCCTCCCTTCTCCACCGTCTCGAAGCCGCTCATAGAGATGGTGACTGTGGAGCAAGATCTGAACTCCCAGATTGGAGCCGCGATGTGCCTGGCGGCGGCGATTGAGGCGGCGCCGGAGCCGGAGGTTGAGCAGCTGAGGAAGGTGCTGCCTAGGCTGGGTAAGCTGGTGAAGGGAGAAGGATTCAAGGCCAAAGCGGCATTGTTGAGTGTGATTGGGAATATTGTAGGCGTTGGAGGCGCGGCGAGTAAGAGCATTTTGGAATGGTTAGTGCCCTGTTTGGTTGACCTGTTGAGCTCTGAAGACTGGGCGGCGAGGAAGGCTGCGGCCGAGGCATTGGGGAAGATTGCAGTTGCGGAGAAACAAGCAGCCAAGGATCATAGAACTTCGTGTTTGAGCTCTTTGGAGAACAGGAGGTTTGATAAGGTAACAAAACAAAAAGTCTATTCTGCTTTTGATTTCTTCTTTGATTAGGCGTTCGATTGGGGAATTGAAAACTGAACGTTCTGGCTTGATTCTTTCTCCTATCTAACAGGTAAAGCTTGTTCGAGAGACTATGAACCGTACCCTGGAGTTGTGGAAGGAGGTAGATGGTGGTTCTGACCAAGAGATTTCAGTGTCAAGCCTCTCTAGATCTTCTTCAGGAGGAGGTAAGCATTGTTGTGGTGTTTCTTTAATGGCTGTCAATGGATCGTATCATTCGTGAAATTGGAAAGGTTTCCATGGAATTGCCAAGGAAATGTTGTCAATGGATAGTGTTCTTTTATCATAATGTAATTATGTTCGAGCTTTTTGAGTAGCTTTCCTTATCCCACTCAATAACGGGAACAAATATTCCCAAGGCTTGACTCCACCCATTCTTCTCTGCCTTTTTGTTGATTTGGGTTTTTCTTCTCGGGACCAGATAATGGTAATGGTGGATGCATCAGAAGCTCTAACAACGTTGGCTATAAAACGCCTTCTTCATCAAGGAAGTCTTTCCCACCACCCAATAGGTCCCCTCCATCGGATGCTTCTCCTGTTGTGACCACAGCCAAGAAGCAAAGTCTTGTGAAGAGTAATGACAGCAATTCAAGGCCGGCAATGTTTCAGAAAGTGGACCACAGGAGGCCTTCACCCAATTGGAAAATTGAAGTTGCTGTAACACCACAGGAGAAGGCCTGTGAAGATGACATCAAGATGCAAGAGCCAAAGGTCCTGAAACCGGTCGAGGAAGTGAAAAATGGGAGTTCGAGCCCAGAAACTAAGCGGGTGCTCTTCAGCAGCAGCAGCACCCGCGGCGGCCATGACAAACTTCACAAATTTGGTGGGTTCAGATCTGGGTCGAGGGTGGTTCCTTATGACTACGATGATGAGGGGGATGACGGTGAAATGTGTTGCACCAAAGGAGTCGGGTTGAACAATCCTGCTGAAGATTTGTATGAGAATCCCAAAGAGATGGAGGATCTGTCCTTGATACGTGAACAACTTGTTCAGATTGAAACCCAGCAATCCAATCTTTTGGACCTTCTCCAGGTACAAGATTCTTATCGTTTGTATTTTTTTTTTCTTTTAACCTTTTTACCTCTCTACAGTCTACATCAAGTCGAATTCGTGCAATTTCCAGTGTTCGGATCCCAGTAAATTCTATTTGTCAGTTAGCTGTTGTTTGTTGGGTGCATTTAGTTCATACTTTATTCACATCTTCCGTTCCAACTTGGGGATACTTTGTCAAATGAGATATTCCCTACTTGTCGTCTATCATGCTGCAAAGTCAATTTTTACCGCAAGAGTGGCCTAGTATTAATTATGTGATGTAAGCACCCACCTTACTCTAAATTTTTTAGTCGTTCATATCAACATTTCACCTAGAAGCATAAATGTTTACCGTAAGGCCTAACAATCTTGCAGAATGCAAATTCAAACTCTAATAACTGCTTCTGTATTCACATGAAACAAACTGACTTTGCTGCCATTCATTTATTTGCTTGAATTCAGAGATTCATGGGGAGCTCTCAGAGTGGGATTAACTCTCTGGAGACGAGAGTGCATGGTTTGGAAATGGCATTGGATGAAATATCACATGACCTGGCTGTATCAAGAGGAAGGATACCCGAGACCGATTCAGCCGATAACACATGCTGCAAGCTCCCCGGCACAGAATTCTTGAGCTCGAAGCTATGGAGAAGACCAGACGGCGATCAGTACTCTGCAGCTTCAAGGTTCCCTTCGTCCCGTATAATGCAATCACGAAACAGCCTTGGGAATAGTGGGGCATATCTCCCCGATGGCAGGAGATTTCAGCAGAGACATAGTACCAGCAAAGGTGGTTTTGTTGGCAACTCGTTGGAAGACGTTCATATTCTTGGCAGGGCCAATATGGCAGGGCTCTCTCCGAGACAAGTGTCAAGCAAACTATTTCAAGATGAAGCAAGTAGTCAAAGGGCGGGTATCTGAAACACCAGCTGCGCCAATTGCGTTTGTGCTATGATCAAACTTGAGGCAGCAGCCAGGTAAGCAAAAATCTCTTTTCTCTATATCGATTCGATTCATCGAATGAAGTCTTACAATCTGTTGTACCAGATCTAAAATTGGATCCCTCTCTATATGGATCCTCATGTTGATCAGTAAATAACAAGTTAATTAAAAATCATTGGTCATGTCAGTCCACTCAGGCCCTTTGTGATCATTCCCATTCAGTTTGACATTGAATTTGAATGTCTTCATTATAGTGCTTTCGCTGATTCTCGTGACTTTTGTAATCAGGTTTACTACTGAATCAAAATCATAGCGGAGAGTCTCATTGGAAAGAGAATTTGAAGATGCTAAACAAGTTTGATCGATCACACGGGAGCGTATTAGTTAAAAAAGAAACACAGGGATATCTTGAAGGTAGAGTGGCAGCAGAGTATTGGAAATGAGAGTCGTCTGGATTGGATGTGTACAGGAAGACGAAACTGAAGTTATCATCATCAATGGCGCCTTCTCGCTTCTTTCCCTCTCCACAATGCTTCTTATGTGTTGGGAATGAATGTTGGTCATGTTTGTCGAGCAGGTGTGGAAGTAGGATCACAGTCTTTTCATTATTTACGCCTAAAGGGTTAACATTTGCCATTAGGAAAATTGGGGCTTCTTCAGCAGATTGCAATTTCTTCGTTTGCTTTTGGGGGGCTCTCAGTAGTTTCCACGAGCAGGATGGGATGGAGGCAATAATACGAGAGCGCTTTTTTTGTGGTACAAAATGGACAACCCTATAAATCGCTGTACGTGCAAAATGAACAAACACAGACTACAAACTCAATCAAATTCCACAAACAAGAGTGGAAATTTTCAGTTTAGGTTAAACGACACTGAATAATAATACTTATGGTTGTAAACTCACAATGGGGTTAAAGCCTAATCGTTTCAGTCACATGGACTATTGGTTTGGGCCCAGACTTGAAGATTCCAGACTCAGTCTCTGAACTTGAGTCGTATTCCTCGTGTAGCTATCCGCTGCTCCCCTGTATCCTGTTCTTAGGCAAACCAGAGTAGAAAAAGCCAATAACAAAAACACACAGACTAAAACTAAAGCAAACACGATGCAAAGCTAATTTTTACGCAGTATCCAATATTCAAAGAATAAAGATCTCAATATCGACTAATTCATAGTATGAAATTATCTTCTTGAGATTTCCTACGTAAGCACTAAAATGATTTCACTTGTTCCTCTTACAAGCTTTAAGTTAGACCCAATCAGCTCTCTGCCTAACAGTCTACTTCTGATTCTGGTGTTTCAACTCCCTGTTTACACACTCATATTCTCAAAACTAATCTCTCCGATAAGCAACAACCAGTGTTTTCAATCAAAATACTGTAATTGCTCTCTCAATCACTTTGCTTTTGATTTCCCTGAAAACCTTACACGAGTTAGGCCGAGTCCTTCTTCTTATATGGTCTTCTTAGTGAAGACTGGAAATGATTCTTTCCGTGTTTGATTTGATTTGATTTGATTGCCCCGATATCTGATAAGTTTTGTCTACTTTGAAAACCTTCTTCTTTGGTATTGTTTGTTTGTGGGATCTTTTCTTCTTTGGGTAAATACAATTTAATATCCAAACCTTTCATTTTAAACAATATAATAGCCAAACCTTTTCGAAAACAATCTAATATCCAAATCATCAACTTTCCATTCGTTTGACCGTTAGTTGACACTTCAAAAAAGTTCGAAGTACGACGCTTCATCAATATCCATCGATATCTTCTCTGAAAAACCACCAACATGTCGTGGTTCCAAACCCGAGAAGTCCATGACTCCACCATGATGGTATAGAATATCTAAATATTCAATATCTGCAATGCCAAAACAAGAAAATTAAGTTGTATTGTGAAATTTCCCCTAAACAAAGCTTTTTTGAAGTTTCAACCAACGGTCAAACGGACGGAAAGTTGACGATTTGGATATTAGATTGTTTTCAAAAAGATTTAGCTATTATATTGTTTAGGGTTAATAGCATTTTGTACCCCTCTATTATGATAAATTAACAAACGTACCCCTCCACAAAATTTTCGCACAAACATACCCCTCTAATATTGAAACGTAACAAGTTTACCCTTCCATCTATTTTTCTGTTAAGTGCCTGTTAAATCGACTGAGAAATGACTCAATTACCCTCATGTACTTTTTAATGCTCCTAATGTTGATTTAATTATTTTATATTTAAATTAATTAATTAATTAAAAAAATCAAAACCCTAAACTAATTGTCTAATTCACTTTGAAACCCTCTGCCTCCTCTTCCTCTTCTTTGCGGCGGCAAAGAGATTCGGTCCCCGCAGCTCCAATTGCCTAAAGGGACATAGTTGCAGGCCTAGCAGTGGAGTTTGGTGTAGGTGAAGATGAGAAAGGAGTTTCGTCGATTATTCCCAACATTCGTCGTCGGCCGGCGCCGAGAAAAAGAAGTTTCCTCAGAAGGTTTTCCTCTCAGCTGTTGTTCATCGTTGCCGCCGCAATTGAAAAGATGCTTCCGACCGTCTCTTCCCTCTACTATCCTCTCTCCATTCAGCCGGTGGTGGCAGTTTCCATCGAGAAGGAGACGATGGAGGCGGAGCGCCCCGACACATTTCTCAGAGAATCGGAGACCGGAGAAGTGAGGGCTCGTTTTGAGAAGATAGATCATGGAGCGTCTCCGATTTTGATTGGTGAGTCTTGTTCATGAGAATCAGAGAATTGGGAGCAGGCGCCGCCGCCGAGAGGGACTAATCCCAGGGAGGCAGATGGTTTCAAAGTGATTAGTTTAGGGTTTTTAATTTTTTTAGTTAATTACTTTAGATATAAAATAATTAAAAGCTAAATTAGGAGTATTTAAGTGTAAATGAGGGGCAATTTAGTCATTTTATAGTTCATTTAACGGTCACTTAACAGAAAATTGGATGGAAGGGTAAACCTGTTACGTTTCAATATTAGAGGGGTATGTTTGTGCGAAAATTTTGTAGAGAGGTACTTTTGTTAATTTGCCATAATAGAGGGGTACAAAATGTTATTAACCCTATTGTTTAAAATGAAAGGTTTGGATATTAAATTGTATTTACCCTTTCTTCTTTTGCCACAAACATCATAGCTTCCTAGTCCAAAGTCCAATAAGACTAGTGGGCTGAGGATGTCCATATGAATAGTCGAAGCCCATCATTTCTCCCTACTTGGATTGTGGGCTTGTCCTCTGGGTCCATGGCAGTTGGCAAATAAGCATTCATCACTGCGGCGCTGCGGGCCGATGAGAACTCCTCCGAAGTTGTATGGGTCGTAGAACCGACCAGCAAATTAAATAAGGCTTCTGGAATGCTTAGAGGAATTCAGATGGAATGTTGGGTAGCTGTAATGTTGAAGCTTGAGGAAGAACATCATATCGATCTCCAACCTGGAATTTGATGTCACGACGCTCGACACCGCAGCTGCTTGTCGTTTCATACATACGATTTTAAGCCACCTCAAGATTTGACAGAAAGCTAATGGATGAGGGCTTTGAGATCGATTACCTAACACCTGATTGACTTCTTGAACTGAGGTTTGATGCTTTTTTCTCTCGTGTGGATGGTGTGGTATGACAACATCAACACTTTTTTTTTTCCAGCTATTTGAGATTAGGGCTGCAAATGAGCTGAGTCGAGTCGAATTTTACCCCAGCTTGAGCTCGGTTCGTTAATAAACGAGTCGAGTTCGTGCTAGCTTGTTTATTAAAATCTTAACTTTTAATTGGTACTTCATTTTGTATATCATGATACATGTGATTTATTTTGTTAGCTAATCTCATATTATACTTTGTTGGTATCATATATCATTTAGCTAATAAATTTTAACTACTCCAAATCATGTTATTTCATAGTATCGAAGTAATCTATGATGCATAATTTCTTTTTAAAGTAGAAAATAAGATATATTTGCTCACATACTCAACGTGTTAAACTTTATATATATGGTGATATATATAATTTAACAACCATATGAATTAAAATCATAAGATATAGATTGATTCGTCCATAAGTTGGTAATCGAGTTGGCTCTCTAGCCACATGTTAAGACATATCATGAGCTCTAAACGAGCCAGCTCACGAGTATAGCTCGACAAGCCACCGAGTTGAGCTAGATCTCGAGCTTCACGAGCTGAACAATTGTGAGCTCGTGTTCGGCTCGTTTATTAACGAGTCGAGTTTCGAACGAGCTTTTCTCGAGTCGAACTCCGAGCCGCTCGCGAGCAGCTCGGCTCATTTGCAGCCCTATTTGAGATGCCATTAATTTACCTTTTCTCCAACAATTTTGAGCCTTAGCCGAAGTAGAGACTGGGAAAAAAAATCCCAAAATACACATGTTAAAAAAATCGCAAAATAAACACGTTTTATGAAAAATTCACAATCTACCAGGTTTGGACATCACCGCGGCAGACGAAAGCGGTGAATGCATCACTGCGATTGACGACCACGGTGCGTCTGATCTAAAACCGAAACTTCAAACGAACATAACTTTGCGCTAATAAGTTAGCTAAGGAATGCAGACAACTAATAAGTATAAGTATAGTCATGGTATGATCTAGAGTATATGATATTTGATCTAGTTCCTGGTGTGTGTTTCAACTTCTCGATATGAACCATACAATGCACATATATGGTCTGATAGGGTAAATTGCAAGTTTGGTCACTGGGTTTAACAAAAAGGTATTATGACCGGGTTTCGGGTCTGGCCGAGTTTTACATTCGTTTTAGGTTTAGATTTTTGTTCCTTTTTAAGTTTTTGATTATTTTATTTGCCCTCAGCCATATAAAGAGTTGTAAACACGATTCTTACATATTAGGTTTTGATGAATAAGAATTTTACAGTGAGGTGTGTTTTCCCCCAAGGAGCATGAGTGCTTATTGTTTTACCTTCTGGTGGATTCCATAGATAGGGCAAGATCTTTGTTTGAGTTTTTTTGTTGAAGATTCCAGAAGAGCTTGTCAAAACTCTTATCAATCAAGCGATCCCACTTAATTGTGGCGAGTATCTATCCCCACGGGCCTTTTATTTTTATGTCCGTTTGAAAATTGAAACGTGCTATCCTGACTTGAGTCGAAACTGCGCGACTTTGACAGAAGAACCTATACTTTCACTAATTCGAGATCTTTATAAAATTGGCCCAACTAATATGATTAAAATATTTTAAACCTTAGTCCTTAAGTGATTGAGTTTTTGGATGTAATTGGTCACGTCTTTGCCACCACCGTCAAGGTGGTGGAATGGGATCACGAAACTAATCCCTCTCCGGATCATGTAAACGTAGCTAGTAGCTACCCCTCTGCCATTACGTGTCGTCGGATGACGATTACTTTATACGGTAAATACTAGTTTAGTAATATGACTCAGCTCAAGGTTTTATTCACCTAATTCAGCCCTTAAAATGTTTGTTCCTTCCCTTTTGAAGATGAATCCAAAATGACCATATAATGCTTTTGCTACTAAAGGTAACTGCCCAAATAGGCTCTCGTCTGTTTAGTATTTACGTGTTAATGATAGGAATGTCCAAGAGGACTGTGTATATCCTCAAATACAGGAACACAAATGTAACACGAAACTGGTGTTACTTAGTGATGACTATGCGACGGATATCTCAATATGTATATTTGTTTATTACATACGGGTCAAGTCGGGTAATTTTCACATAGGTAGGGGTCAATATCGATGTTTGTCCCTTACTAAGTGTAGATCAAATAGGATAACATATGCATGGATACCCGTTCATGACAGGTCGATCGAATCTCACATGTTCTTGGAAGAAAATATACGCAAGATTTATTTTTTTACGATAAAATAAAAGAAAAATACTTATGAATGAAAATAAGGATAATAAAATGAATAACTAAGTCTAATTAGTTAAGAGAAGAAGTCTTGCACTTATTCAAAACTTGTTAAAAATAGTATTAAAAATCCAAAATAGGATATAAATGTAAATATATTAAGATGACACAAAATATGACGGATTAAGTACATAACGGGGCAAGACATGATGAAAATAATACTCAATACTCGTTCCGACACTGGTACAGATCGGATAATACTCGCCAACACAGGAAAAAAAATCAAATGATACAATGTTTCCAAAGCATCTTCCTCAAATTGCCATCCTATCCTTAGTATGTAATTTAAGTCAACATCTTCCTCCGCGTCCAACATATGGAACAGTAAAAGTTACAATCCAATGTTTCCAAAGCACCATTAATGGATAATAATTAATTATCATTTGATTAAAACCCCTCATTTAATTCCCTCAAACGAGTGCGATGTATGTGGTAAATTGTAATGTCACCACCACGCGCACCATCCTAAAAAAGAAACGGAAAAGAATTCCCCATCCGACACACAAGGACAACTAGGATTGTCACGTCACCACCACGCACCATAACTCTCGCGTCACCTTTCCCTTCTTCTTCTTCTTCTTCTTCTTCTCCTCTCCTTCGTCTTTCTTCCCCAGCTAGCTCTCTCCTTTTAATTATTCTTCTCCCTCCCAACTCGCCAATTCCTCACCACCTGCCTCCTTTGACGGCCGGCCGCCATTGTTTAACCCCCGCCATTATTATCACACCCTTGCGTGCTCCACCATTTTCTCCCGACAAGACAACCCAGAATCTCTCTCCACCCTCCGAACTCCTCGGAACCCCACTGTCGGCTACGGCTCCGGATCTGTTGCTATAGCCAATGGATTCCGACCAGCGGCGGAAGTGGAAGAGAGTCAACAACAGCGGCGGAAAAATTGCTTTGAAGCTCATCCTCTCTTTCAGGTCACTCACTCTCGGCATAACTTCGTTCCTCTTCATTCTCTTCTACTTCTACGGTTCAGATCGCTCTCCATTCCGGCCGGTCCTCCGGGTCTCCGGTTTTACCCGGGTCTTCCCCAACCTGCTCACCGACGACTACTTCAGCGGCGGCGGCAAGCCGCCTCCTTTGGTTATCGAGAGCCGGGTTCTGCTGCCCGACCATCTGCTGCTCGTCCTGTCCAACAGAGTCCAAAGAGGGGAGAGCTTCGAATGCGTCTACTACCCCCAACTCGGCGACGCCGCCGACGTGCTCGACGAGATGCTCGTGAAGCTGGCTATTTCGGCGGACGATTACCAGGAGAGCAAGTCGATTGTGAGGTGCGAGCTCCCGCCTGTGAATTTCTCCGCGGCCGCGGATTTGCGCCGTACGGGCGGTGAGGTCGTGGAAGGGAACTGGATGAGGAGCGCAGTAAATCAGACGGCGGATGATGATAATGCCGACTCCGTCCCCGATTGGGGGATGGTGGTCTACGAGGCGATTCTGGATTCCAACACGGTGGTGGTGTTGGCTAAAGGTCTGAATCTGAAGCCGCATAGGGATGTCAATCCGGCAGAATTCAGGTGCCATTTTTCGTTGAGTCATTTTAACAAACAGGATAGCTTCATCTTCACTACCGAAGCCACCGCCGCAGCTCAAGAGGTCGTCCGCTGCTTGCTGCCCAGAAGCATCCGAAACAACAACACCGAGTTGGCCGAAGGAATCCGCGTCACCGTCAGCCGCGTAGCCACAGCCTCCCCTGCTCTGCCATCGGTGGCGAAAGTATACAACCCGAAATCCCACGGGATGAGAGGGGAGGGGGAAGCGAAGTACGAGCTCTGCGCTTGCACGATGCTGTGGAACCAGGCGGCGGTGCTCAAGGAATGGGTAATGTACCACTCGTGGCTGGGCGTGGAACGGTGGTTCATCTACGACAACAACAGCGACGACGGGCTACAAGACGTCGCCGACGAGCTCAACAACCAGAACCACAACGTCACTAGGCACGTCTGGCCGTGGGTGAAAGCGCAGGAGGCAGGGTTCTCGCACTGTGCACTGAGAGCCAAGTACGAGTGCAAGTGGGTCGGGTTCTTCGATGTCGACGAGTTCTTCTACTTACCACGCCACCGCGGCAGCCAGAACTCATTGCCAGGACAGAACTCGCTCCGCGCCCTTGTCTCGAACTACACCGACTCGCCCACGATCGCCGAGGTAAGGACAATGTGCCACAGCTTCGGGCCGTCGGGGCTGACCGCACCCCCAAAGCAAGGGGTGACGGTGGGGTACACTTGTAGGGTTCAGGCGCCGGAGAGGCACAAGTCATTCGTCCGGCCGGACCTTCTGGACGTGACGCTGCTGAACATCGTGCATCACTTCAAGCTGAGGGAAGGGTACAGGACGACAAATGTGGCCGAGACCACGGCGGTGATCAACCACTACAAGTACCAGGTGTGGGACACTTTCAAGGCCAAGTTTTTCAGGAGAGTGTCGACTTACGTGACGAACTGGCAAGACGATCAGAACAAAGGGTCCAAGGATAGAGCGCCCGGACTAGGGACGGAGGCCGTCGAACCGCCGGACTGGCGGCTGAGGTTCTGCGAGGTTTGGGACACTGGTCTCAAGGACTTTGTGTTGGACACTTTCGCTGATGTAGCCACTGGGTTACTACCCTGGGAGAGGAGCTCTTCTTCTGCTGCTTCTGCTCGTTGATGATCGGGAAGTTTCCCACAAGTTTTGGAGTGGCAGACGGCGGCGAGGTGTCATGTAAAACAACACACAGATTGAGTACTGAGGTATACCGGCGCAAACGATTCTTTGCTTAATTTTTTGAGTTATTATCTTCCTCCCGCCCTGTTTTTTGAGGGGAAATCACTCTTCTTCTTCTGGCATGCGGATTTTTACACAGTTGTTATACACATGTAAAGGGTTCAAACATATTGAAATGAAACGATTCTTTTGTTCCTTCTTCCATTGCCCGGCAATGATAGAAAACCCGAAGCTGCAAAATGCAGACCCTGGAAACAGGATACTGAAACAGATTAGAACGAAACCAAAACAGTTACCAACTATTTTGCTCGGCATGTGAACTAGAAGGCACAAATTCAAGTTTATCACACTACGTGAAAAGATGGTTGAAGCAAAGCTAATAAGATGGTACGGTGCGTCTGTCACAATTCTCAAGTGGAAAAGAGCCACACAAAAGAAGAAGACAAATTCATATAGGATCTGAATAAATAGGTTAAAGGTTCTCAAGGAAAGGAAGTCCGTAAGCTGACCTCACTTAACTGTAATTTCTATTATTGCAAGGGAAAGTGTGTACACCCTGCTAAAACACTATACAGATAATGCCAGCAATAAAGAACAGATCAAAATGAACTAGCAACTACTCTGGAAGCACTCATACTGACAGCAGGGTCGGATCAAATATTCCTTTTCGAAGAGGGGCTTGGCTCTGCAATATGAAGAATAATGCAACATAATCCTAAAGACATCAACATGAACTACTATAAGCAATCAGACTATTCCAGAAACCTCTTAGAGATGTTAAGGGAACTACATGCCTCTAACCCTCAACTCTTAAGTTATTTATTCTTATTGAGGGTCATCTATCCGCATCCTAATCTAAAATTAGTAGATAATCATGAGATACTGCTACTAAGGAAATGCTTAGGTAGAATGTAGGAGGTTCAATCTATTAAGGAATATCAAACAATGATGGCACAGATGCTAAACTGAAGGTTACCTTGAACCGAAGGTGTGGCAAATGAATGATGAGGGAGGGCAAGTAAGCTCAACAAGTTGGTCTCAAATTCTGTCCTGGATTTTCAAGGGGGTTACACTAATTGTATGTTTGGCAATTGTTGCATCCAGTTTTTCTCCAAGATAAGTGATCCACGCCTGCAGAGACGGGAAGTTGGGAATATTTGTAACCAAACAGAAAGGACAGCTAAATGAGAGAGGAGGAAGTAGGTAGGATAGAAATGTCGATTGAAGAGAATGGAGAATGGCGGAGCTAAAGAGCCATGACACGAGAAGAGAGGAGGTGGGTGTGGGAGATATGTAGAAAGACAATAAGGAAGCGCACACACCTGATCAGCATTTGTGAAACCCCTAATCATGTCACCTCCAATAATTACAATTCCTTTGTCTCCGAGAGGCTGCAAGATCACTGCCTAAAGCATTTTAAACGTCATTCAAAGTGGAGAATTAATAAAACCAGAATTCTGAAGAGGCAATGAACAAACAGAATTATCGGAGGGAAACCACAGCAAGCTCACCTGTGTGTTGGATGGTAAAAATGGCAGTTCTGACCTCCCAGGATACAGAGATAGGTTTGCTAAATAGCTTTCTGCGCAGGTATCAACACACAACAGTAACTGACAATGTCAAGCCATTTCTGTAGTAGCCTTACAAGATATATATAGAGAGAGGGGACAAAGAAGCTGCATTTCCTAATCAAGCATCAAGTCAGAAACTCAAACAACGCAAAAGGATATCCTTTATTACTTACGACTTCCAGACTTCATAACACCTTGATAAACGGAACCTTCACTCAACCTGGCAGCATCGACAACCTGTGCTTCTCCACCAGAGGACTCAGCTGCAACTCCAATTTGCAAGATACAAGTACGATCATACACAACCACTAGAGACCTGCAGCATGTAACCGATGATAGAGACTCCCATACCCTGGGAACATCAAAACCGATTAACTCCTTTGGAAAAGTAAAGCCTAAAAACAAAGAGCAAGAATACCACTTCTGTTCAAGTACCATAAGAGTTCTGCGATTGAAGGGTCCGGTAAGCGGGACGATATCATCCGACATTCCACACCTAACGGATTCACCTGGAGAAATACACAACCAGATCACTTAGCCCCAAGTGACTTCAACAAAGGAGATCAGATATGGACCAAGAGTTGGAGCTCATTCCTAACCAACTCACCACGGAGATAGACTTTGGCTTGATTGTAAGCCATACCAGGCCAGTCAGTATACTGGTCACAGCCAAGCCAAGTGTCAATAGATCTGCTCTTGACTGCGAACTGCAATGTTGCCACAATCACATGAAATGCCAGGATAACAAGTGTGAGTGAGCCAAGTTACTCCCTAGTCCCTACTATACCATGTTTCTGTAATTTTGCTAAGATTTCCATAGAACTATTGAGATCAGGTCGAACAATGGAATGATAACTGAAAATTCGACAACTTCGCGGATTTTAAAGAACTTCACCTGCTGGCATCTGCAACTGGAGCTATGCCGGAAACGGCGCGATTAACGAGGACGGCGACGAGAGAAGCGCCTCCAACGTATATGGGCAAGCTTCGAACGGTGTCGTCGTTCCTAGACACCCAGTCAGGTACCAAATCTTGCTTCGGCTTCGGCCCCTGATAACTTTTCTTCAACTGCGTCGGCAATACAGAGAAGAGGAAATCAGACCGCATAACTCCACAAGCAAGCTACGCAATCGGATTCCGGTCATTCAAGCTGAAGTACCCGAGGATTTGAGGAAGAAGCCCGGACGGCTTGACGGAGGAGACGAGTCCGGTGGGGAAGATGACACTGGGGACTGAAGCTCCAAGAAATGGCACGATGGAGAAGAGTTTCCGCTTCCATTGAACCGCTCGCGGAGAGTGAAACAAATCCTCTTCGCTCTAGACTAGTCACCAGAGTCATATGTACTTTGATATATAAAATGAAATGAGAATTAACCCAACAACCGGATCCGTGGCGCAATGGTAGAGCGTCTGACTCCAGATCAGAAGGTTGCGTGTTCGATTCACGTCGGGTTCAATCCCCGTTCCGGATAATTATTTTTGCTCCGCTGGGCCTTTATTCAACGAAATCTTAATTAGCCGTAAGCCCGTATGAAATTACCAGGCCCAAGTTCCATAATCTGGGCCTCTGAAAATCTCAAGCCTGCTCCGAACTGAACACCAGAACAAAAACTTCAAAATGAAAATGTCTGAGACCAGGTTCGAACTGAGGACCTTTAGTGTGTGAGACTAACGTGATAACCAACTACACCACCCAAACTTGATATGTAAATTTCTAAAATGATTCTACTTGTAACTTTCTATTCATAAGTCTTTTCTGGATTAGACATTGCAGCAGTTTACTACTTCTGGAGATAATCCAGGGGAAGCATTCCTATGATGATCCAGGTTTGAGACACACGGCTCATGACTGGTTCGACACTCTACTCGAGAAAATGTCGTTTTAACTCGACTTATTAGTAAACGAGTCGAGTCTGAGCTCATCCTTATTAGGTTCATGAGGCTCGCAGGCTATCTCGATTGAGTGGTTCATTGAGTTCAACTAGTGAGCTTGCTCGAAGGTGTGGTTAAAGATCCAGTTCGAATAGCGACTTATGAGCGAGTCAATATATATAATTTATGATGTGCCTTCTTAATGATTTATACATTTGTTAGATTACATATCTCATAATATATAATGGTTTCAGACTTGGCGTACGTAACCAAATATGTCACATTTACAATTTGAATGAGAAATTGTGTATTATAGAATGCTTAGTTAATAAACATTATTAGATAACATTTTATGAATCGGTTAAAATTATGAACTAAAGTACATTATCCCGACATAGTATATAAGGATGAGATCAATTAGTGATGGAAATTTACTATTATTCTTTTTTCCATTAACCGCATATATGGCATAAAAATATTACGATATTCAAATTATATATTATTTTTTATAAGGGTATATAAGTTTTTATTTTTTTATGATTAAGGTACTACCTAAAGAATTCGAATCTGGGACCTCCAAGTTATAGGCTAGTGATATTACCAATATGACAAACCCTTGTTCGTTCAAATTATATATTATTTACAATTTAATTTAAGGGTTAGCCATTTAGATTTATACTTCAACCATTTTGGATTGATTTGGTATTATATGGGGTTGAATATTGATATTATAGGACTTAGCACTGTTCTTATCGTTTTTGGCCATTTTATGTATAACTTGCTTATTCTCATCCTATTATATTCTAGGTTGTATTTTCTTCGTAATTTCAAGTCCTAGCATATTAAGGAAGGTATATACCAAGTTTTGGGCCATTTAGATGTTGTTTGGAGGGTGCAAAAGAAGGAAGAAACAAAAGGCCTCACAGCCTGTCTACTTGAAAAGGGGGAGTTCAAAACTGTGACTTGAAGATCACAGCCATGAACTTTTATCTCGGATCATGAACTTGCCCCTCCTAAATGAATTTCACTAACTCATGTCAAAGTTAATAGTCGAGAATCTAGGAGGTGAACTTTGACAGACACGCCAGTATAAGTATAAGTGAAAGGAGATTATTTCTCACAAAGGGGCATTCTAGAGAGAAAAACATAGCATATTCAAGATGTAGAGAGAGGACGAACTTGGAGGGGTTTCAGAGCAAATCTTCATCATCAAGTCTCAAATCCATTCAAGAACAAGAATGGAAGATCAAATCAGGGTGAAGAAGACAATATATTCATGGGCTTGCCTTCTTTTCTTTTGTACACTTTGTTTCTCTCTTTATGAACTAAACCATTGTGTAGGTAGATGTAGAGATCAAGTAGATATTTGCTAGGAATTTTGTTGTATGGATTGGAGGATATTTATTTGCCTTCAACTATGTATCTATGATTATTAACCTGATCTATCTGTGACCTGACTAACCTACAACCTGGTCTACCCGTATCCTGATTGACCAATAACCTGACTAACCCGTGACTCTACTAACCCGTAACTCGACTAACCCAATCCGAACCATCCCACTTTACCTGAAAATGACACACATGTGATCATTCAATAAGAGAAGGAATTCAATGGAGATTAACCAAAAGTTGACATTTAAGATCCTAGTTCACTAATATGAAGATATTTTCCCCCAACCTTATAGAGTTATATATGATTTCACCTAACCGTACATTTACATTGTCAAATATGACCTTAACATAAATATACATTATAAGAACATTTTAATAATAGTTCACATGCCATATGTCCTATCATCAGAAGAATGATAATAGCTCATATAAGTATGATCATAACAAGAATACAAGACCTAGTAATATTTCATATTGTCAAATCACTCAAACATCAATAAAACAAGTAAAAAAATAGAGTGACATTCACATGACGATCGCTCTAGAGGCTTTACTTCTTCTTCATCATCCTTCGCATCTTCATCATCCTCATCTGTATAATTAATCAGCAAAAAAATTGATAAAAAATAGAGTAGCTTATGTAGCACAAATATAAAAGTTTGTTTTGATTACCCATTTGGTATCCTCGGATCCGATTAAGAGTTGTCACAATGACTTAAATAGTATCAGACAAACATCCCAAACTAAAAGAGAACTGTAATGCAGCTGATGAAATTGAAATAGAGAGTACATCCTTTGATATTCTAGAGATATGAGGGAATCGAAATTGATGGCCCTCTAATAATGCAAGACATCTAAAGGAAGCAAAATAGTGACTCCATCAATGTCACCAAAGGCAGGTATCAAAGGATTCGCTAAATATATCTACAACTCAGAGGTAGTTGATTTATTATTGTTGATATAAGAAGCATAAAAACCCTACAAATAACAAACATACATATCATTAATAATAGCATATAGGCAAGTCCATCATTCTCTTTACAGTTAGCATGTTCATCAGTCTTTATAGTTAGCATGTGAAGCAAAATAAATAACTAACCAAATACCAAAACACAATAACATAATTGATAAATGTAGTTATAAGCAAATACTTATAGCCGTGTAATTGTCCAAGGGAATTCTTGGAGAAGCCATAAACAAGACTTTTTGACTTGCTGAAGTAGCCGATTGAGTTTTGTACCCTTCCAATAAGTAGCTCTAAATCATTCACAACATCCTTAGATTTAGAAACATATTCTCCACCAAATTTATTATACCAAAACTTTACTAAAGCAACCTTATAATGAGGATCCAAAATGACTCTAAAAGCCATAACTAAGTTGTAGTCTTTCCAGTACTTCAAGAACTTTTTCATCATCATGTCTCTCATGTCCACAAATCATCCCCTACACTTGTACAAAGGTGCCTCAACTAAAGATGAATCTTCTCAACATTCTAAAAAAAAAACAAATGGCTTCTTGGGTACTTAGTTCCAGAAAATAACTTTATGGTTTCAACAAATGGCTTAAAGAATTTTGCAAACACTTCTATCTTCTCCCAATCTTGAGATGATGGGCATTCCTTATACCTAGTATCCATCCTTTCTAAGTTTACAAATGCTTGACGATAATAAATTGCTCTCTTAAGCATATTATAAGTTGAATTCCATCTTGTTGGCACATTAAACCACAAAGACCTTGTTTGTTTCATCTTACAAAAATATTGCATTTGCAGCAATATTTTTGTGTATGATCCTTGGCCCGACAATGGTGACATTCAATATCACGGTGCTGCTAAGGAGGGCGATACGCTGCAAAGACCTGATCATGTTCTGGAGCAAGAGCTACTTGTTGGCTTCCTTCTAGCTGAGTTGGATGAGGCATTTCATGATGATTATCACGACCTTCGTGTCTCATAACATGGCTTGTCTACAGAGCGACAGTCACAAAAATCGTCGCATCATGAGCACCAAGGCGTGCATCAATTGGGGCTTGCGTACTCAACCTCGTTTCTTCTCGCACCAAATATCCAAGATCCCCTTCAATGGTCAGAATCTCGCGATTGAGTAGCGTGGACCAAACGACCTTGAATTCATGCTTCACCATGGACAAGAACTGCAAAAGTCTTATCTTGTTTCTCTCTGATGAATCTCGGGTTAGGCAGAAGTGGTGAGTAACGCAGCAGATAACATATCTTGTTCGGTCCACAAAAGTCGAGTAGCATTAAAAAAGGAAGCGAAATCGAGATTACCTTGATGGAGATTTGCCAGCTTGACTTCTATCTTGAACTGACGAGCAACACTCGTAGTAGAATAGGTTTCGGCTAAAGACTTCCACATATCAGCAGTTGTAGGCATCAAACGGAGACCCAAGACGATGTTTTGGTCAACTGACTTCATAATCCATGAACGAACGCGAGCATCGTTCTGCAACCACTTGGATAGCTCTTGTTTTGATGCAGGCGGGAAAGTTGGCTTTTTCGAAGAGCCATTGATCAAACGGGATAGCACAATTTTTCCTAGGACATTGTCCTTCAATGTAGACGCGGATCTGAAATTCCCATAGAGTGTAGTTCTTTAAATTGAGACGAGTGGTGATGTGCTCGAAGTCCATCAAACATGCTCTGATACCATGTTAGTTTACGAAACGGAAAGGAAAACAACACAAGATTTACGTGGTTTCATCGTTCAGTATGAACGGAAAGGAAAACAACACCGCCTTAGCTTTGCTTGATTTTACCTTAGTATTTTTTTTTTTGCCTTAATCATTGTTGTCTTTTCTGTCTAATAGTTATTTTCTAAATTAAAACAATACTAAAAGGATATGTTAAGTAATTGGAACATAGTCAAGTACTGATAGTTCATATCCTCTATGGCATACGACATTTCTTCTCATTGTATTGCTTCTAATTAACTACATGTGCACTTGGCTAGTTAGTGTCACTAGAAAAAGGCCATCACCAACACTTTCTCTTCTCTTGTGATCCTTCAATCAGATAGTTTAGTTGGTCTTTGTTTCTTAGTTGGTTAGCTAGTAACTTTCACATTCTTGTTTGGCTAGATAGTAGCTTGAGTCCAAGAGTAGTACTATACTTAAAGGATCCGAGGAATACGACCTTGAAGGTCAACCCTATATTATGTCTTCTAATTAAGGCTTACTTTACTTAATTAGACGTAGTAGAATAATTAGACATCGAGTTCATAACTTGAGCGTACCACTCTCGCATGAGGAAGGCATAAGCTCGTAAAGGAATCAATGTCCTTACACAAAAGCACTACGCTCTTAGGGCCTTATGTAGACCGTTTTGCCTTACAATCAAGGTACATCCCTAATTCCCCTATGAATTATGAAACCAACTGTAGAGAAGGGTGAACCTCATGCTCCTTCAAAAAATCTTCAATCAAGGTCAGGCAAATTCTTCATAAAGCATTGTAATATAGCAATGATTATCTATGAAATAGGAGATAGAGCAAAAAATTTCCCAGAAATAGAGTGAAGCCTTCATGCTTCAATAAATCATTGTCTTACAAGGCCACTTGTCATGATAATCATCTACAAACAAGGAGTAATCAGATAAAAATTTCTTTCCAATCGGTATTTGGTACCAGTATTTGAATTGGCATCATCGGATCCCGATCATATGCTGTAGTGGGAGTTATTTCATATGTCATGAAGAATTTACTCATTGAAAACGATGATACTACAAAGTGAAGAATCAT